TGTTAATCCTCCATACCAATGTATTATCCACAATCTGCTTTCTGTCATGACCACAGATGCAAATAATTAACTTAAGGTATTTGCCAATCGTTTATCAGGTTTCCTTTGGGAATTATCAGAATCCCAATACTTGCTTAACCACCTGCTTGTTTGCTGTAGATATGCCTATAAAAGCCTTTTATGTTTTATATTCCCTTCATTCTTAATCTCATTTTCTATTTTAAATCTCTTGATCAATTTCTCAGTGTCTGTTAGACTCCTTCATCTTATTATTGTAATCCTATACATCCCTGTTCAACTTGGGGAATTGTATTTGAGGAAAGCTCTTCATAATCCCTTGAATTTGATATAGTACCTTATCACATTGAAACATCAAAGTGCTTCATAGTGAATTCCTGTCAATTATCATGACTGTTTTGTAGACATTTACAGCAACCATTTACATCAGCAGTCCCTACAAACAGCTATGAGGTGAATGACTAAATAATCTGAGGAGGTTTATTGGCCAGGACATCACCAGAAACTCTTTACTTTTCAAATATAGTGATGGGAATCAATAATATAACTCTATTCTGCCAGCTTGGTTCACTTTATTGCAAGCAACAACAACAACAACTTGCATTGATATAGTGTTTCTCATGCAGGGTAGCGGCTCCAGGGAGATTGACAGTGGTGGAGCATGATGCTGAGCCGGGGGGAGTGGGGAGGTGACTGTTGGCACGGTTGAAGAGGAAGATCTGCACGGCAGAGGGATAGAGGAAGAGTGTTCCAGTGTTTTGAGATGTAGTGGCTGAAAGTGTAGTCACCGATGGTGGAACCGATGGCACGAGGGACAAGCAGGAGGCCGGAGCCAACCGAGCGGAGGCAGCGGATAGTGGATTGGAGAATAAGCAGGTCAGAGAGGTAGGGAAGTGCCAGGGCAGGAAGCAATCAATTGAACTGATGGATATAATAGAAGTGAGGTATTAGTTCAAGATCTCATTGTTTTTTCTACTGAACTAAAGTAGAAATTTAGAAGTTTACTTATGAAAATAGCATATCTGTCAACGCCATTTGTTTTCATTGCTTGTTTAATACCTGAACCTTATGCAATGTTTATTTCTTTTTCTTAGATTTACAACTACCATAAAGGTTTGACCTTTTGCAAATTTTGGCAGGATATTCTTGTGAAAACATATGGTTTATGTTTTCAGCTGCTCGTGATTAAATCAAACTATGCTCAGCCCATAGTGAGTTGATGTTAGCCCTCCCATTGAAGCCATCTACGCTAATCCCATTTCCCTGTTTTTCTCTACTTCTGTACTACAACAACAACAAAATTACATTTGTATTGTGTCTTTCACGTTGGGAGGATGTTCCTATTAATATTTTTTTCATTTCTAAATTTTTTTATTTTAAATGATGAGTGTTGTCTCAACAGCCACTTGTGGTAGAGCTTTCCAAATTCTAGCAAACATCTGTGTAAACAGAAATTCTAACTTTCTCCCTTTTTTCTTCTCTTATAATCTTTATCTGTGTTTCCAGTTGTTACTGACCCACCGTTCTGTGGAAATAGTCTTCATTCATGATATTTATGACTTTGAAAACCTCTATCAGATCCCCCCCAACCCCCCGCCATCCCTTTGTTTTCAGCACACCTACACTACTCTCCTTTTCTGTGATGTTCTTTCTACAATTTGCTGTTATAATGGGTTGCCCAAAAACAGAGGTAATATTCTGACTGTAACGTAAACCGACGTAGTTTATAGATTTAGCACCACTTCCTTGCTTTTGTATCCAATGCCTCTCGTATAAAACCTAGAATTCAACTGTTTTTGCTTCTCTTGTCTGCTTGCTTTGATACCTTTTTTTAAAAAAATCTATATACCTACACACTTAGCTCTCTCTGCTCTTCACTCTGTTAAGAATAGTACCATTTCGGATATATGTCCTTTCTTCATTCTTCATCCTAAAATGTAAGACAACAACAGCTTGCATTTATGTAGCACCCTTCACGCATTGTAGCGCTTAAGGCACTTTGTATTTTCTCCATTGAATTTCAAATGCCACCTATTTTCACAATAAACAATGTTTCACAGAAAAGATTCAAATGTTACCTTTGAAACAATAATATTTTCATTTGTTATCTTTCCCCATTTCCTCTGCAGGGTGAAATCCACTAGAGGGCGACCTGCCTCTGTTACAGTCGCCAAAGATGTTTTAAGCATTTGGAGCATAAGAACAAAGCTTTAAAAAAATTGAAATTAAATATTTCTGAATTAACTTTGAAAGCGCTGAAGTGATTAGATTTAACTGCAAAGGCAACACCAAAAGACAAGCTTCCTTTATGTAAGTGGGGTTTAGGAAAACTAAAATGTAAGGTTACACCAGATGAACCCTTTGACCTGTTAACCCCATACTGGCTTGTCCATTCCTTCCACTTGGCAGACTCTAATCTAACCCATGTTCCCCCACCCTGCCCGCCCATCCATTGGCGGTCGGGCTTTCAGCCTTACTACCCCACCCTTTGGAGCTCCACTGCACAGTCCCTTTACCTCACTTCCTCCCTTGCCTCCTTCAAGGCCTATGTCAAGACCTTCCTCTTTGACCGGACCTTCGGGCTTCCTCCCACATCCACCTCCTTGCCCTCCAACCCCTTGCCCTCCACCCATCTTGACTTCAACCCCCAGCTCGATTGCAAATCCTTGACTGTCCAGTGCCTTGGGGTGTCTTCCCGATACGAAAGGCACTATACAAATGTAACTTGTCATTTTTTAGTAATGCATCCAAACAACTACTGGAATGAACTGAGCTAAACATTATCACAGCAGATAATATGTCCAGACAGTTAGCAAATTGGGCAGTTGAGTGCAAATAGTAGTGGTTAGAGATTTTCAAAGCTTAGCTTTGGGGGGTGAGCAGGTTTACAAATACAGGAGTAGCTCTGGGAAATGTAGCATCGTGTCATTTCGGGATGAATGAATGCATCGTCCAAAAGGATGTTATTGACGAAAACGTTTGTCATAAATCTGGGACTTGATGTTGCAGCACAGCTATCACCTGTCGTGAAATAAATGTGGAGTGGGTTTTAACTCGGGCATGGGATCTGCTCGACAATGTGGTCCATGTTGCCAGTGACTTCCAGGCGCATTCATTGCAATGAATGTGCTGTTGTTGCCCACACATTAATCCTGTTGCAATTCACTCCTGCTTGTGTGTGTGTGTGTGTGTGTTTGGTTGTCGGTGGAGCTGTTTCCAATGGGAATGGTTCTTTCGTGAGATAAAACTTTTTTGAAAGTGTCGCTTTTGCCGAATCTGCTTTGAATATCTGCAATGAACAACTCGTCGCATCTATTTGGAGGAGCATTTAACATTGTAAGTCAGGTTTGAAACGGTGGGTCTCGCCTCCTGCTAACCTGCTCCAGACAGCGAGTGGGCTGTGCGTGTGTGTTTGGTGTGTGTGTGCGTGTGTGTGCGGTGTGTGTGTGTGTGTTGTGTGCGGTGTGTGTAGTGTGTAGTGTGTGTGTTGTTTGTGTGTAGTGTGTGTGTGTAGAGTATGTGGTGTGTGTGTGTTGTGTGTAGTGTGTGTGTGTGTAGTGTGTGGTGTATGTGTTGTGTGTGTGTAGTGTGTGTGTTGTGTGTGTGTGTAGTGTGTGGTGTATGTGTAGTGTGTGTGTGTGTAGTGTATGTGGTGTGTGTGTAGTGTGTGTTGTGTTGTGTGTAGTGTGTGTGTGTGTAGTGTATGTGGTGTGTGTGTAGTGTGTGTTGTGTGTGTGTTGTGTGTAGTGTGTGTGTGTGTAGTGTATGTGGTGTGTGTGTGTAGTGTGTGTTGTGTGTGTGTAGTGTGTGTTTGAAAAAGTGCTGAAACGCACATCCCCAATGAGTTCGAGAAGAGTGAAAAGTTTTGTGTCGTTTCCTTTTTTTTTGGTGGTGTGGGGGGCGGTGGTGGGCGGTGGTGGGGGGGGGTGTGGGGTGGTGGGGGGGGGGTGGGGGGTGGGGGGGGTGTGGGGGGGGGGGGGGGGGGGGGGGGGGGGGGGTGTGGGGGGGGTGTGGGGGGCGGTGTGAAAAAAGAGAGTCCCGATGTGCGAAGCGAGCAGTCGGGAGGAGGAGCGATATAAAAGTCCGGGAGGGCAGCGGAGAGCTTCCCTTCCCCTCTGTCGGGGTTCACACGGTTCAGTGTAATCGCGAAAGGACCGTAAGAGTTTCCTGAGCGCAGAGCGTCTCCTCCCCGACTTGTTGATTTGCTGTGTGTGAGCGGACGCCGCTCCCGCACTGTGTGCGGCTCACACTTAAAGCCTCTCACATCTGGCGCTGGGTTTAGAGACGGCAGCAGCGCCTTCACACCAGATACTGTCTCACTCACCCTCCCACTCCGGACCCCCACTCACCCACTCCGGATCCCCACTCACCCACTCCGGACCCCCACTCACCCACTCCGGACCCCCACTCACCCACTCCGGACCCCCACTCACTCACCCACTCCGGACCCCCACTCCCCCACTCCGGACCCCCACTCACCCACTCCGGACCCCCACTCCCCCACTCCGGACCCCCACTCCCCCACTCCGGACCCCCACTCACCCACTCCGGACCCCCACTCACTCCCCCACTCCAGACCCCCACTCCCCCACTCCGGACCCCCACTCACTCACTCCGGACCCCCACTCCCCCACTCCGGACCCCCACTCACTCACTCCGGACCCCCACTCACCCACTCCGGACCCCCACCCACCCACTCCAGACCCCCACTCCCCCACTCCAGACCCCCACCCACCCACTCCAGATCCCCACCCTCCCACTCCGGACCCCCACCCACTCCCCCACTCCGGACCCCCACCCACTCCCCCACTCCAGACCCCCCACCCACCCTCCCACTCCAGACCCCCTCCCACCCACTCCAGACCCCCCACCCACTCTCCCACTCCAGACCCCCTCCCACCCACTCCAGACCCCCACCCACTCCCCCACTCCAGACCTCCTCCCACCCACTCCAGACCCCCACCCACTCCCCCACTCCAGACCCCCTCCCACCCTCCCCTGTGCGGGATCTTCTCTCTGCAGCTGGAGATGGCTGTCCCGGGCACTGGCTGTGGGGTCCCAAACGGGGACTGTCCTTTCCCGGAGGTGATGGAGCTGAACGTGGGGGGTCAGGTCTACGTGACCCGCTACACCACTCTGATCGCCGCCCCGGACTCTCTGCTCGGCCGCATGTTCACCCGCAAAGCTCCCAAAGAGCTGCCCAGGGACAGCAAAGGCCGCTTCTTCCTGGACAGGGACGGCTTCTTGTTCCGCTATGTCCTGGATTACCTGAGGGATGGCGACCTGGTGCTGCCGGACTGCTTCCCCGAGAGGAGCCGATTGCAACGAGAAGCCGAGTATTTCCAGCTGCAGGAGCTGAGCCAAGAGCTGAGCCTCAAAGTCAGCAAACAGCTCTCCATCAGCGAGGAGACCTGCCCCAGAGACCCGGAGGACAGGGTCCGGGGGGGCTCAGCCAGCGATCAGCCCAGTCTGCCCACTGCCTCGGTCACAGCAACACCTCCCGTCCCATCTGCAGGCACCAGGAGACTGGGCTACATCACTGTGGGCTACAGAGGGTCCTGCACCATAGGCAGGGACTGCCAGACTGACGCCAAGTTCAGAAGAGTTGCCAGGATCACGGTGTGTGGGAAGACCTCTCTGGCTAAGGAAGTGTTTGGGGAGACCCTGAACGAGAGCAGAGACCCCGATCGCCCCCCAGAGAGGTACACCTCCAGGTACTATCTCAAATTCAATTTTCTGGAGCAGGCGTTTGACTTGTTGTCGGAGGCTGGCTTCCACATGGTGGCCTGTAACTCCACTGGGACTTGTGCCTACACCAGTGACCAGGGAGAGGACAAGATCTGGACCAGCTACACCGAGTATGTCTTCTGTAGAGGTTGATCTGACTGTGCAAGAGACATGCGAGCAGTCTTGCTCCTCAACGCCGCACTGCCTGTCCTGCTCATGTGAACTGGAGCATTTGGACTGACCACCTTGTCCTGCCAATTTGGAGCTTTTCTCTCTGTTTTCTTCTATGGTAGAGTAGGGTAGTGTAGCTATGTAAACCACTCGGAAACGTCTGGTGTGTTTAGCATATACGCTTTAATAATAATAATAATAATAATCCTTGCATTATGCCAACCAATTAACTACAGTGGCAAAATATAGTGCAAGAAATAAGTGTTTATTGACCGAAATAAAGTGATGGTGTTTGGAAATATGTTTTTTTTTTGATTGATTCAACATTACAAAGCGGTGGTATTTACGTGCCACCGTGGAGATCCATATCACTGAATAAATTGTTAATCATTGGTATAATCGTATTTACTGTGCAGCAATTGATGCGAATTTACTCCTCATCTCGTCTCCAGAACTGTCTGAGTTATTCACCCAAACATTTAAAAAAAGGATTGTTTCCTTTTAAGGAGAGAAAGAGACAGGTTCTATAGGTTTGGCTTTAAGGATGTTAAATTCCACATGCACTAGTTTGCCTTCCAGTATTCTGCTGAACTGCCCATCTGGTCTGAATATGATTACTTATGACTGACTATTTTGCTCTAATGTACTTTTGATCTGGACTCATATAAAACAGAATGTTGTTTAACACTTTTCATGTTGTAACATAAAGTGACAGACTTAAAAGTTGTCCACCGTCTTCACAACTCTTTCATAGGAGGTATGAGTTAGTAATAATGGACTGAAACACCCCTAAATCTACAAAATTATAGTAAAATCCCAAACATGTTGGATGGGCACAAAAGGTTATTCAGCATCTGATAAGGAAATATAGCTGGACATTCTGAATGTGACCTTTCATCAAAACTATGGGACAAAATGCTATTTTTCTCAGTAGATTTGTTGATTTGTTTATACTGTTTGTTAAGAAATGCTACACTTTGCACCACAATGTTGTACTGATAGTTTGACGTTTTTCTTTAAGTGCATATTTCAGGCTTAATTTTTTGTTGCAAATTACTCTTCCACCACAGAATTGAACTTCCATGTTCCCATTTTATGCAAGGGTGCAAAAAGCTTTAGTGCTCCAAAGAGGAAGTTCCCCTTCCTTATTTAATGTTTGCTGTAAATAAAGCATGTCACAAGAGACATTTAGTTCTGCTTGTTATGGGAACTCATGTAATGAAATATTCTATAATATACCGTTGCTTACTTGGTTTCAATGTGCAGCATTATTATTTCTTCTATCAATGGTCAAACATTTCAAAAGTTTCATATTCAGCACTTACAGTTTTTACTTAGGAATTGCAGAAAATGCTCCTGCTGTGATGCAAGTGAATAGCAAATATCTAGACCGAAAAATCAAGTGAGGCAAATTATTCTTCTCAGAGTGGATAAAAACAGAATTAATTTATGTTAACAAGTGAAATAAAAGTAACAAGATAGTGGAAGACAAAAGAAAGTGGAGGGATTACAAAATAAATTAATCCCCTTCTTTCCCAAAGTAAAAAAGTAGAGAAATAAAGACATCTGATTAAACTGAAAATAATCTGGACAGAAATTAGGAAAGTTTGCGTTTTTCGGAATTACAGGACTTGGAATAGTAAATAGTTTTTGATTCATTTTATTTTTGAGACTGATGCATATTGATGTCAAATTGGATTATTTGTGTAACATCCATTGTATTGATTGCATCAATTGTGTCTGTAGCTGGAAACATTTCAAAAATGTACTGTTAGATTATGAATTATAAAACAAAATTGCATTAAACTGTGAATTATACACAGATTTTATGGAATCCTGATCACTGCTCTGGATTTATTTGTAATGGATATTTCTTTGTATACATTAATAAACAACAAGTAGGAATGTGCTGTAATGAGCCAAGAGAGTTTTCAATTCATTGGCAAAAAATAAATTTGGCTCTTGATAAGCAATACATTAAAGCAATGGACAAAAATAATTGTAACTATTGCTGTTCTTACACATTATCATTTGAAATGTGATTTTCACATCGATCATTATTGATGGTTGATCAATTGGATGATCATTTTGCAGAATCCCACCTCAGATCAATGATGGGAATCAAAAAGGTAACATCTATTTTACCACTAAGTGTAGCGACATTGATTGTGTGGATTTATTACATGACTATCTTCTGTAAGCCCATGTTATCAAAGTTGCTATGCTTAGTGGCAAGATACATTTCTCACCTCAAATAGGCAGGTTACGATTTTAGCAGGGAGATTATTTAAAGTGGAAGATGGGGAAAGAGGTTCAAATCTTCATTATGGAAGGGAAGACCATCAAGGGAAGAGTCGTCCAAATATACAAACAGTTCATTTTACAGTAAATCCTGTGAAGCACTCTGAGATGTTTCAATTCGCTGATGAAGTGCTGTATCAAATCCAATGATTATTATTATTATTATTTTCTATAAAGTCATTTTGAAGAGCAATGGTATTGATATCTCTTTTTGGATAGTTTTAAAATGTGATCCACATATAAAAGTTTTACTCTGGTGATTGCCTTTTTGAATCTGTCCAAAATATATATTTTGAAAAACACTTTACCAAACTCATACTTTGACAGCTCTTAAATTCTATTAGTTTAAATTATATTAGCTAACTACTGGAACTTCCCAAAGACACTGCACCTTTAACACAGCTGCTGTGAATATCTAGTCTTATTCCCACAGCTGCTGTTTGAGAGGAAAGAACGTGCCTCCTATTTGCAAAGCTGACAGGAGAGGGGGAGAGCAGCATCCATTGCTGTGCCAGCTGCTGTTTTCTTATCGTTACACTCTATATATATTCTTTATATTAACAAAGTATCATAAAATATTAACCAATTTCCAGACAGGTATGATTTCTATTGATCAGACGCTGTGATAAATCAGCAGGCAAGCTCATTTCATTCACAGTTGTGACTTTGGACCATGTGGAGTTTTAGGCTTTGAGTGAGAGTAGAAATCCAACTAAAATGAAGCCCTTTGCTTGGTCTTAATGCCCAACTGTTAGGTTAGACAGGAGGGAGGTGCAAGTGGGAATGATACAAACTGTGTGGGAAAATTTCATTATCCCCTGTGACTTGAATGGTATGGGAGAAGCTGAGTTCTGAACTCTTTCACAGATATTGGCAATTATAGAGACAGTGAAAGCAGGACCTGATATTTGTAAAATAACAATGCATCTGATTTCTGCTGGATTTTGATCATTGCACTTTAATAACTTATACTGTTGCTCTATCATTCACCCTTAGGCCTTGATGTTAACCCATTGCACCACATTTGCCAAGGCAATAAACAGAAGCTTTAGTTTAAAAACATATGATGTCCTTTGTTAGCAGATGGCAGATATGTTGACAAGCTGTCAGGGTCATATAAATCCTTCCATGGGTGAGGAAATGGTTGAAAATCTCCAAAGCTTCCAAACAAACACGGTATTTGAGAGTCGCTTGAATGAAAAGGAACCCCGTTGTTGAATCACAGGTTCCATGTTTAATAACTTCTATTGATTTAATATGAAGATGACAGAAGGTACCAGTATTGGCAATGAAAACAGAAACTTGCCTTTTGTCTATGTGTCTTAATTCAATAATACGTTGAACTATCCTCTTTTGGGGTGGGGGGGAGGTAAGAGGGGTCTCCTTGGAGCTGAACTGGCTCCAAGGTGACGTGCTTAGCAATGGAATGCCTTGCTTTTGTCACCTCTCGGCTGGACTACTCTAATGCCCTCCTAGCCGGTCTCCCATCCACTACCATCCATAAAATCCAAATCAGTATCCAATCTCACCCTCAATATTAATATAATGTCCTGTAGCTCAGTGGTTAGAGCACTCGCTTTGCAAGCGAGAGACCTGAGTTCAATTCCAGGCAGGGCGAAACCTTGGGCAAGTTTCCTTACTCCACACAGAGCCTAATAATAATCCCTCCAAAACCCAAAACAATAAAAATTGGTCATTTTCAATCTACGACTGTTTGTGGGACATTGCTGTGCGCAATTGGCTGCCGCGTTCGCTCACAAATATACAGTCAATTCACTTTACAGTGTGTTCTGTGAAGCGCTTTGGGACGTCCTCCCGACGTGAAAAGCGCTATATCAAATGCAAGGATTATTATTATTATTATTATTATTATCGGTAGTCCGGTTCCTGAGCCAGTTGTGTCCGCAGAATTCCAGGGCAGTGGGATGACAGTGGCTCTTGCCAACCTCACGTAATACTTTCTGGAAATGGGTAAACAGGATGCGTCCCTCCAGGGAGAGAGTGTGCATTTCATTCCAATAATCTATCTCTGGGATTTCCATGTGTAGGTGGGATGCCTAGAAGTCTCAGCTTTGAACGTTCTGAGTCTCAGTCTCAGAACGTCCTCCCGACGTGAAAGGCGCTCTTTAAATGGAATCTTGTTGTTGTTGTTGTTGTTGATATTCTTAAGCATGGTGATGGGTTACTACATGGGTCAGACACCCGGATGATTAAAAAAAGCAAAATAATAAAAATAAGTTGAACACCCCAGTATTACTATCATTGTTAGTGCTTAGTCTTTCCTGGAGGGTCACATGCAATTAACAATTACCAGTTTTGAGTATGGTGGGTTTGAATTAGATCAGACATCATGGGCTGGGTCAATAAACTGATTCTACAACAATAGCAAATACAACAAATTTACATTTATATAATGCAATTCACATCAGGAGAATGACCCAATGTGTTGATGCTAGATAAATGATCCTGCTAACAGCTAAACCATGCAGGCATCAGTTTACCCTGAAGTTTCCTTCTTGTCATTGGTAGTAGGCAAGTGAATGTGCTGTTTGCAGGGAAAGAGTGTGAAGTATGAATGTCTCAAAAAGTCTTATCACTTTTCATGCAAAACAATACCACAAAGCATTTACATGAAGAGAAGGGACTTCACATTGAAATACTCCTTTATCAAGACCAATGTTCCAAGATCAGCTTGGTTTCCTTGGATTGCTAGATTGCTGTATCTTATCCAGGAAATATTTCATGGTTTTACTTTGGTGATCACAAATACATTGACACACAAGCACATATGATAAAAAAAAGTTGAAAATTATATAGTGTTGCATTGCTCAACAAAACAGGAACTATTTTTTGCAGATGGTTTAGATTTCAATTCACCAACGGGAAGGAAGGCCTTGCAGCAATCTGATCTGCTTTCACAACACTAAGAAACATGTCACTGAATAATGGAATCCTACTCTAATTTCCATTAAAAATTCAAAGTCTGTTTGATTCCATCCAGAATTTATCTCTGATTCCATCACAACAAGAACGTGATTACTGTATGCTACAAATTTGAATATTTACAAGTTGCTTGTTACTTTTTAAAACAAGCAGTTAAACAGCAATAATTGTACTTATATAGCATCTTTCATGCAGAATGGATATCTCAAAGGGCTTTACAAATATTACAGGATGCACCAAACAGGAAGGAAATGTGGCAGGATATGACAGAAATAAGGTGAGACAAGAGAGCAGAAGTGCTTAAAATTTATAATCAAGATCTTGAAATCAATCAACTGGAGAATAAGAAGCCAGTGGAGCCTGGTGAGGATAGGGCAGCAGAGTCTGGTGTGGGGGAAGGAAACGGTGTGTGCAGTTCTGGATAAGATGAAGTTTAGGGGCAGTCAGGCTAAGAAGGCCAGTGAGGAGAGCATTGAAGAAATCAAGTGTGAAGGTACTGGAAACTCAGATTCAATGTCAGATTCAACCAATTACAGATCAAGTACAGTACAGTTTAAATGCAGAGTAAATGCAGAGTAAAGCTTCCCTGCTCAACAATGTGCTGCTACCATGACCTCAGGAGACCATTCCACCTCACTGCGTAGTATGTCCCCAGCTCAGGTCTGAAATGCTGTACAGTGTCCAGCGCCTTGGTACGTCCTCCCGACTTGAAAGGCGCTATACATATGTAATCTTGTTGTTATATGATATCTTTCTTTATGACACCACAGCTTTTCATTGGCTTCTTAAAGTGAGATTTCCAAATTTAGTACCAAATTAAGGACAGTTTTGTGCTGTCAGAAAATATTCATTAGAATTGAAACTGCCACACTCATTTCACGTACCACTTCATGCTTATGTATGTTCAAGAATACCTACAAACTGACACAATAAATTAAAAACTTCATTATGTTTCACTCGTATAATGAGGACTTGCAATATTTTTGTGTCTGTTGCCAGATTTCCAGTTTCCTAGTAATCCCCACCTTCTTGCAATGCTATCCAACAATGACAAATACTGATCCCCAATCTCTCCGTGTATCATTATGCACACTAGGAAATACGTCAAAGCTGTACTGTTGTCTTGTCCACATACAGCAGTGTAACCCAACTCAACACAGGATTAGTTTGGGTTATGCTGCTTAATTTACTGTTTATTCATTGTCTTGCAGTTTTGGAAACATAAAAATGAATAAAATGAACATAAAAATGCATTCACTTTGGGATGTTTTTTAACATATTCAAAAAAAATTCTGGCTAAATGTAATTACAATGGCAGTATTGTTCAGGGCTGAAAAATGCTGCTAAATTCCAATGTTGGCATTGTACTTGATTGAATTCCATGCGCAGAAGATAGCGAGTAAGCCATTTTCAGCTTGTGGGATTCAAACTGAGTCAAAGGTGATATCCTTGGCCACTGAAGTACAGAAAGGACAGTAAGGCAGGGGGATGTGTTAGGAGAATGGGCTGACAGGAATCTACTCAAAATAGATATGCCCCAACTCTAGGTTGGGAAATATCCCCTTTCTTAGACTATAAATACACCTTCACAATTGAGTTCCCTTTCATATTAATTGATCATTCACCCCCTGACTGGTTGGGGATATTGCTGGTTCAAATGGCTGTGTGTTTGCCTACAAAACAGTCAGAAACTTGACAGTAATTACTTTTGAAGGATTTTTGAATGTGTTAATGTGATAAGGTGGTTAAAAATCCCAGTTCCTTCTTTTCTTTTTCATCATCACATCAGCAGGATTTATCTTTGCTCTTGTCTTCACAAAGAATGTTTTTTCTTTCTTCACTTTTTCAATCCTAAGTAAAATGTTGACTCATCCATATTGTGCCCATTTGACTTTAGTTTACAGCCTACTCACCTGGCATGGTGAGGACCTGTTTTTAAAAAAAATCTTACAAATAATATTAATAATTCTTGCATTTGTTATAGTTCCTTATCACATCATCAAGATGCCTCAAAGCACTTCACAGAATGTACTGTCAACTGTAGTCATGGTGTGGTTATGGGTGATTGTGACAGCCAATTTATGCACAGCAATGTCCCACGGACAGCCATGAAGTCATTATCCAAATGATTTTTGCCAACCCACTGAGAGGAACTTATTTCTCTTTTCAAATAATGCCATCAGGTCTTTAGCATCTTGAACAGACAAACGGGATCTCAGTTTAATGCCTCATTCGAAGAACAGAAATAAAATTTGTTTGAATACATTGGCTTTTGCCCTAGTCCACCTTGATTTCTTGGTCTTGTTGACTGTGTCTCTGTGAAGTGGTTTCAGATTCATATGGGATAGTCATATATAAATCAATTTATTTGGCAGACTATTGGCCAGGGCATCAAGAGAAACTTACTTCTGTTTTCGAATAGTGTCACAGGTTCTTTTATATCCACCTGCAAACAGGACATCTCATCTAAAGGACACCACCACTGCACTGGAGTGACAGCAAAGATTGTAAGCTCAACATACTGATGTGGAGCCTCTCAAGCCAGCTAAGAAGAATTAAATAAGCAATTTTCCACCCACTTTTATGAAGATCGACCCCAATATATAAAAAGAAGATAGTGACTACTGAGGATGGTGACCACTGAAAATGATCAAACGGTATTGGCATTGTTGAAGACCTGTGTGAGTTACAATTTCCGACCCACAAATGGTTTATGTTTCAGCAAATTACAAGCGGTATCTGTTTTATAACATGGTTTATGATTTTAAAAAGCTGTCTGGCTTTTCACAATTGTTCGATTTACGCTCAGAGTCAGAAGTCCTGTATAAAGTGAATATGTTTTGGGGGTTGTCATCAAACAACTGCAGTATGTGCTACCTGCTAGATGTGAAAAAAAAGCATGCTCACTGTGGGAGATTTGAGTCCGTGCAGGGTTCAAACTGGGGCACGTTAGAAATCAAAAGGCAGTTTGACAACAGAATAACTGATTAAAAATAACCACTTTGTGTGCAACAGATCTGCAACATAAGTTGCGTATTTATGACAGTTTTAGTTACATGTTGACTAACTGCCTATATTCCCCTGTATTCCATAACTGCCATGTTTCAATGTGAGAGTGAAGCTTCCCAGTACATCCTGCTAAAATTAACGCAGCCACCATAGACATGAAAAATGACCAATCACTGGTATTTTATACTTCACTCATTTTTCAGTAAAACTTAAATGATATTGCTTGAATTATTGTTTGCAGTGCAACTAAAAATAGAAGGATATTTGGATTGAGGTAAATATATCCAAAAATGCAATTTATCATCTGCCTGGAGTGTATCTGTGGAAAGTAAATAATGGACATTCTCATCAAGACATTTCCTTTGACTAGTTGATTTTAGCATAGCATCACAGCGCACAAGTTTGTGGTATGTCTGGAGATACTTTGAAGTAGTAAAAGTTGAACGTCATTCAAGCGTTCCATAAGAGTTATAATTAATGACACTCTGAAAACGTCAAATGCAGAATTGCCCCATATTCGTGCATTTTAGTCTCTTGTGGTGTCTATCCTTCATGTCCACAGACACACACAGACACACACACACACACACACAGAAGAGAGAAACACACATACACATTCACACAGAGACACTCAAACACACACACATCCAGAGGAGAGACACACTCACATAGACACGCACAAACACATCCAGAGGAAAGACACACTCACACACAGAGACACACTCACACACAGAGAGACATTCTCACACACAGAGAGACATTCTCACACAGAGCGACACTCACACACACAGACACACTCACACACAGAGAGACACACTCACACACATAAACATAAAGACACATAAAGAATCACAAACACAGAGAAACATACAAACAATCAGATAATTATTTGGGGAGGACAAGTTTGCAGGGCTATGGGGAGAGAGCGGAGGAGTGGGATTGATTTGGATAGTTCTTTTCAAAGAGTCGGCACAGACGTGATGGGCTGAATGGCCTCCTTCTGTGCTGTATAATTCTATGATTCTAATCACAACAGCCGGGCTTCCAAGTGAAGTCCACTTGCCTCTTGCCCCACATCATGCATGCGTGTCCGGAGCCGCCCCGCCTACAGTAACATCAGGTAAACAGCCAGGAGATCTGCAGGCCAGTAATGTCATTTATAGCGGGTTTGTAGCAGAGGAAGGCGTTTCTGGCAGATTCCGCAGAAAAAGTGGGCCCCAACTTTTCTATTGGCCCAGCTCATAGCTCATTCTTCTAACATTAAGCAGTCTCCTTGTTGTTTGTTGTATTGCTTGGGCAGACTTCATATGTCCTGGCAATAAGAGAAGTTCAAATGTTTAAGTGTAAACATGTTGCATTAGATTTCTTACTCCAAACTACTTTTGTTGCAACTTTAAACACTCGGAGCGGATACACAAATAAGCAACATTAATAACATGTATACATCAGATTATTTTGGTTAACCTTTCCTCACTCAATCAAAGTCAGTCATCTGCACTAAATTATGCCATTAAAAGGCAATTTTGCTTATCTTGCATATCTCAACATCATATCTATATTATTAATTATTCACCTTTTATTAATGTGAATGTTCTTTTTCACCATAAATATTTTGCAAGCCTATTTCTAACAGTTGGAATATTTTCACAGAGTAAAACTGACTCTGAAGGGATGATTTCTTTAAGGTTATCTCTCTCTCATACACTAATTGAATCTCATGGAGGGAAGAAGAACTATGCAAAAAAGTACTATTTAAGTACTATCAATAAAAACACCTACGCATTTCAGCACAGAAGGAGCAATTCATTTCCGATTCTACAGTAAAGTGGGTTAGAGCAGCTAGCTCTTGCAGTGAGCTGTTTCTCTTTTATGACATGCTCCGACCATCTGGTCTGTATGCTGGTGAACAAAAGAATCATAGAAATTTATGGTGCCGAAGCAGACCGATCAGCCATTGTGTCTACATCGGCTCTCAGAACAACAATAACAACAAAATTACAGCTGTTCATTCAATCCCACTGCCCCGTCCTATCCCCATTCATATACTTGTCTACTTCCCTTTTGAAATCCAGAATAGACTCCCCCTCTACTATCTTACGTGGCAGGGCTTTGCACATCGCAACAAGTCTCTGTGTATACGATATTCTCCCAAGATCTGTTTTGTTCCTGTGAAAACAGATAGGCTTAAATGTGCCATGAGTTTGTTATAAACTTTTGTTTCACTGGGCTAGCCTATGGTTCCTGACGCACTGACAATATCAAACTGCTTGGATATACACTCCACCTCATGGAGCCTCTGAGGACCTCAGTGTCTTGTTCGATTCTCATTTATCCTTACATTTGTGTTCTGACCTGTTCAGCTTTCGCCCATTTCTGTCACATTCACCACCTCACCGTCACTACCTCTCCGTTGGGCCCACCGAGAGCTTAATCTAGGCTAGATTACATCCAGGCTAGATTACAACAACTCTCTGCTAGGTGGACTACCTGCCTCTTCCCTTCACAAGCTAAAACAACTTGCATTTATACAGTGGCCTTCACCCAGGGTAGCTTCACAGTGGCGGAATCTGATCCTGAGCCAGGGGGAGAGGAAGAGAGTAGATGACCATAAGCACGATCCAAAAGAAAGGTCTTTTGGTGTGACTTGAAGTTAGGGAGGGAGGGGGCAAGATGGAGGGATTCAGGGAGAGAGTTCCAGAGTTTCTGGGCAGGGGAACAAGGGATTTGAAGGTTGAGGAGAGGTGATCATTTAGCACATTGACGGCTGCATTTGGATCACTGATGGTGCAAGGCCAGAGGGAGAAAGAGTCCAAATATGAGATGGCATTTGTGAGAGAATCGGGGGGAAGCTTTTTCCATGGCCATAGAAGATGATGGGGGGCTTGGAGGAGTGGATGATAATATGAGAGGAGTGGGAGATGAGGAAGTGGTCTGAGATGGCCTTGTCTGTGATGGTCAGATTGGAAATGCCTAAGCCATGGGTGATGACAAAGTCGAGGGGTGGCCACAGTTCTGGGTAGGGGAATTTACGTGGAAGCTACAGACTATCCAGAACCCTGCAGCTTATGTCCTTTCGTTCTCCACATGCCTCTCACCCCCATCCCCTCAAACTCTACCAATCCACCCATTCCCTCCACTCAGCAGGCACTATATAATAATAATCCTTGCATTTGATATAGCACTTTTCACGTTGGGAGGACGTCCCAAAGCGCTACACAGAACACACTGTAAAGTGAATTGACTGTATATTTGTGGGCGAACGCGGCAGCCAATTGCGCACAGCAATGTCCCACAAACAGTCATATGGATTGAAAATGACCAATTTATTATTTTTTTTGTTTTTTTGGAGGGATTATTATTAATCTAGCCTGCCTCATGTCACTCTGCCCAACCCCATCGGTGGATGGGCTTTCAGTTTATCTTCCTGTGCTCGGGAACTCCATTAGCAGAGTTCCTTTGATTGGCTCCTTCAAGGTTTGCCTCAAAACCTTCCTCTTTGACCACACTTTCAGCCATCTTCCCACCTGCCCCTTTGTCTCCCACAACTTGGCCGCCCATTCCCAGCTTGGGTGCAAACTTTAGACTGGCCAGGGCTTTGGGACCTCCTGATGTGAAAGGCACTACATAGATGGTAAATTTGTATTATATTATATTGTAATATAATAATCCTCGTATTTGATACAGTGTTTTTTCACCAGCTTCATACTTAGGTAAACAGAGATGTGTGGAATAAGGACTCAAGCAAACTCAAGCCATCTTTCTTGTGAGGTGAGTGCTCTAACCAATATGCTACCATGCTCATAATGTATTGTTTTATATAAGAAGAAACATTCCATAATTAAGTTGAATTGGGTGACTAGATGGATCAACAGCCAACTCTTGCATGAAACATTTACTATATTATTATTGTAGACTCGAAGCTGAAGTGCACTTGTTAAAATGGGATACTTGGAAGTCAGGTTAAATAATAACAAAAGGTCTGTTATATTTTGAAACTATCTTCCTGAATATGTCTTTCTATTGCTGGCATTCTTTCTGGTATATCCATTAAGTCATGATGTATCATTATCCATTCTCTTGCCATCTCAGCCAATTCCTAGAATGTTTTTGGCCACTTCATGGCCTTCTCACTCCTCAGCTCGCTACACACTTAGATTTGCTCTCCAAAATTATGCTGGGCTCTTGTTCATCCTCTTTAGACAAAATTGTCCTCTGAGCTTACAGAACAATTTCATATTGCCGAGACTTTCATCAGCCTGAACTGATAAAGTCTTCTAATCAACATTAACAATCATTTTCTTTAAACCGTGGTCTGCTGTGTAACTTAGCACCATCACTATTTTGAGGGTGAACAGCTGTGAAAATGAGGAAACTAAAGCTCTTTCAATGTGCATAAAATAACTTTTCAACTAAAGTCTGCAGAAGTGGCTCTAAAAGGCCGAAGCCTTTGTGCTTTTAAAGATTGAGGTGCTTAATGGATAAATTGTATGAAAAACAATTTTGCTGATACAAGTGTAAAGTCTGATAAAGCTGGCTGCACATTTAATTTGCATCTCGTTTAGTGTATGCAGTGCAAAGATTATTGTAGTACAAAATGTAGGTATTGTAGTTACTTGGAAGTGTGGAGGATTAGAGGAAAGTAGTGTGATAAATCAGTAGGCATGTCAGAGGGAGGGTTAGCTGCAATGTAATTCAAAATGTGTCAAGAGGAGAAAAGGCAATATGGATGGTGAATAGTAATATAGTAGCAGTTTTAGACATTAGTAGATCTTTTAGCCGACCTATCCATCTTCCCAAATGATTCATTCAACACATCTATCTCAACATCTAATAATGCTGAATCTTTTTCTTTTCCAAGACCTTGTCTGGTGCCTTTACAAAATACTCCTGTGTTTCCTGTTCACCTTTGCTGTGCATATTTTGAAACAGTAATAACTTATTTTAAATCTTATTTATTCACTGAAATGTAAAGTATCGAGCAGGTACAATGACTTCACGGTCCCCAGTAATTGTGTTATACTGGGCAGGACCCCCACAAGCACTGACACTGAGCCAGAAATAGAAGTGAAAATGATTTGAATATTTATTCAATGGTGCTTGACGGGCTTGACATTCTGTCAGTTACAGTATTGAGTAAAAAGTAGCTTGAGGTGACTAAAACCAGTGCATGCTCCAAAACAGTCGTCAGGTGGGAAAGTGATAGGAGTAGTTGAAAGGAGATAAGAAAGAGAACCAGGTGGGCCCAGGTACAGGGAACCAAGAAAACAGAAATGGTGAATTCATTGCAACGTTGAATAGTGTAAAAAGGGATTCATTCCTTTGTTGCTTATTCCGTCTATAAATAGCCGAGGATTTCAGGGGGATTATATTGTGATTCTGGTATATTTTCTGTTTATTGCATATATGTAGTATTAAACCCAATGGAGGACTACAAAGTGAAAAATGTTCTGACAAGTGTTCAGAACTGTACTATTTCTACTAAAGTGAGGAGAGAGTCCTGTTACTGCATTTTTACGTGCACTATAGTAGAAGGAAACTCAGGTGAAACTGTGTGCAAGATTATTTTCTGCTGAATAGTTAATGAAGATTTGGATTAAAGCAAAAACATAGCTGCTCATTAAGTCATACCACTTTATTGAGACTGTTTTCAACTTTGAGGAATACAATCTTAAAAAAAGTGCAGTTTAAGTTGGGCCTGGATGGTGCAATGAATTAAGTGGTTAAACTAGTATATGCAGTCCTCCTCATCTTTCCTTTCCTTGTTTTGCGGATTATACCATTATTTTTCAAGCTTCAGCCATAAATGATCAAATATATGCTGCCACTGCTACTTTGTCGACAGCCTTAATTTTGAGGTTGGTTTTCTGTAAGTTTTTTTAAGAGCTGCCGAAAATCAGATTCATAGTTATGACTGAATTTTACCAAATTCTGGATGACCTGAAATACTACATAAATAGAAGTAATCCGGAAAAAGGTGAAATTCTGTAAAGCGCTTTGAGACATCTCGAAGACGTGATAAGGCACTATATCAAATGCGAGGATTATTATTATTATTAGGATCATTATGATTATTATTATAATAAAAAATAAATAATCCTTGCATTTGATATCGTGCCTCATCACGTCTTCTCGATGTCTCAAAGCGCTTCACAGAATATACTGTAAGTGAATTGACTGTATATTTGTGGGCGAAACGCAGCAGCCAATTGCGCACAGCAGTGTCCCAAAAACAGTCGTGGATTGAAAATGACCAATTTATTATTGTTTTTGTTTTGGAGGGATTATTATTAGGCGTGAGGAGTAACAAAACTTGCCCAAGGTTTCACCCTGCCTGGAATTGAACCCAGGTAATAATAATAATAATAATCCTTGCATTTGATATAGCTCTTTTCACGTCGGGAGGACATCCCAAAGCGCTTCACAGAACACACTGTAAAGTGAATTGACTGTATATTTGTGGGCAAACGCGGCAGCCAATTGCGCACAGCAATATCCCACAAACAGTCGTAGATTGAAAATGACCAATTTTTATTATTGTTTTTGGTGTCTCGTTTGCAAGGTGAGTGCTCTAACCACTGAGCTACAGGACTCCACATTATTGCTGGTTTGTTCCTGGAACTCACAGCTGGATGTTTGGATGTGGCCCGATCATCTGCAGAGAATAAGAAATTACAAATTAATAACTCTGGAAAGAATATTATCAGACATATCTGTTCATCAAAAAATTGCTTGAGGCTTAAAATACAATTTAATTTTAATGTGCGGAGACTGCTGCTACCTCTCAATACTGATATGATACATTGTCTCTGCTTTCCAGAATGTGAACTGGTTATCAGCATTTAGTCATCAATAATAAAAGGTACAGTGTGTTATTCACTTTTACACAGGGTCATTATTGGCTGCATTTCGGGGAGAAATATTCAATACAAAGATTCCAGCATAAATATATTAAAAAGCAGCCTGGAGCAAAATATTGTGCTAAACTTGTGGGAATGATTCTCAACTGAAATTCTTTCATTTCATAACAGATTTCATCTAATTAGGAGTTCAAAATAGTCTTTATTGGCCCCCAAGAGTCAGCACCATGGTTTAGTCACCACTGATGTTATCTCCACAGAGTGTGGGGCTTCAATATTGATTCATTGGAAAAGGACCATGAAATATTGTATTTTTCACGAATGAGTTGCTCTATAGTAACTGTTATGTAGGCAAACACAGCATCTAGTCATGCTAATAATAATCGTTGCACTTGATATAGCACCTTATCATGTCGTTGAGACATCTCAAAGCGCTTCACAGAATATATCGTAAAGTGAAATGACTGTATATTTTCTGGGCAAAATGTGACAGCCAATTTTGCACAGCAGTGTCCCACAAACAGTCGTGGATTGATTTACCAAATTATTATTATTTCAAAAAAAGAATTTCAAGGGAATATTAGTCCTAGAAAGCAATTCACCAATCGACTAACAACTAGATCCTTCTTACTGCCGTAAACAGAGGTGTGTTGATTAAGGAAACTTGCCTAAGGTTCCCAGGAATCAAACCTGGGCCCTCTCACTTGTGAGACGATTGCTCTAACCACTATACTATAAGACTCCATGTCAGTGTTGCTTGACTAGCACTGGCATGAACTATTGGCAGTGCAGTACTTCAGGCAATGTGTTAGCCTGGCTCGGTTTGTAGTACTCTCACCTCTGAGTCAGAAAGTGTGGACTTGAACTAATTTAGTCTAAACTGACACTCCAATGTAGTGCTGGGGGGCAGGGGGGGTGAAGGTTGGGGCAGGGGGTGGGGTTGCGTTGTTGCACGTGCTTGTTCTTTGGATGAGACATTCAGATAGATGTTAAAGATCCCATGGTACTATTTGAAAAGATAAGGGAGTTTGTCCCAGTGTCTTGCCCAAACAAATCTGTTCATTCACTTTATGGCAGTAAATCATGTGAAATGCTTTGAGGTAACCTCCTGACTTGAAAGACATTGTACCAAATGTAAAAATTATTTTACCCTCTTTCTTTACAGAACCGAGCAACTCTTTTGTTTATTCTGTGGCAGACAATTTTTGTTTTGTAAATTCTGGAGTGATTATTAATTTATTATTATTTTTTATTTTTATATGATTATTTGTTATTGTTTATTATTTTTCCAGCAAGGAAAGAGTAAATGTGTGCTCTGCACAGCCACAAATTAATATTTCACACATCGAGCAGTTTTGATCCAGATTTGAGAATGTTGCCAATTGAACCAGTTACACTGAAAACCTGGAATGATTGTTTTTTGCAGCAAATTCTGAAACTAATTGTTCTCCTATCCAAGCATAAGAATTTTTATATAGAATGCTAGAAATATATTTGAGGAAGCTCGGAAGTGAAAACGTAACTGTGTTACGGAATCAGCATAGACACAACCATGCTCAATTGTGCAAGAGCCCAAAGATAAATTCTACAACATAGGCAACCTTCTTACAAACCCCTTTACTGAAATTTTTGATTGTGAAAGAACAGTTCTCGCAGGTGGTGAAGTGTTCTTTGGCAATTATAGTAATAAGGATCAGATAATGAAAGGGATTTAACTGCTGCTGTCAGAGTCTATTTGCATTTAAGAATTGAGCTCATGAGAAATGCCATTCAACTGGAAGTTGAAACATCGATTTCATTATTCAACATTGCAAAAGATGTTCCTTTTGAAATGACATGTATTATGTTTTACATTTGAAACAGTAAGTGGTACTCCCTCTTTCTTGATGCACTTCTTTATTGTGAATCAGG